ACAGCTATGGGGCGTTACAATCTGTTTATATCCATGACAGCGGAATTTTGAAAGATTCGCGGATAACCACAAGTAAAGCCAGGTATTAGAAGTTGTTAGTACGCTGGAGCATGTTAAATAACGCATAACTCAACCAATACCAGTGTCCAGTGCATATCACACCGCCCCCGTATTCCTAGTTGCGTAGACTGCACAGTGATGCGGTTTTGCATTCATGCATTGCAGACCAAAATATGCGTTAAGTGGTCTGCCGGAACGGCCTCCTGGGCTACTAGAAGCAAGGAAACAGTGCAACTACGCCGTACAAATCCAGAGAATTGGCAGAAGGTTGAATGAAAATTTTGTAATTCTAACCCTGCTCTGTGCTTAACTGTACAGCAACCGCACCGCGGAGCTATAAAGTATTACTTCATATAGTTTCATCTAGGAAAAAATCAGTCGCGATTGATGTTCTGAAGTTCTCCGTCTCCTGGAAGGATGAAACAAGCTCTGACATTTGGGTCAGGATTAATGGAATTCAAATCGAAGGCGCCTTATTCGACGGCACCGCATTGCGAGAAACGTCTTCCAACTTTCCGCCTGTCGCTAACGTACCGACTTGTTTTGCGGCCTGGATTCAAGAAGTGATTGTTGACGGATAGTTAGCATGTAACTTAACTTATACGCTGTTCATTTAGGAACAGCCTTCGTCCCAACAGGCAGAAAGGGCACTTATGGTTCCTCTGTACGCAAACAGTAGGCGACAGCAGCTGATTACGACATTCGAGCTTCCAGTTGAAAACAGTCTCAACAAATGGCATATTCTGAACGTAGCCATGTTTCTTAAGTGACAAGTTTTAATTGCGAATATGCGCTATTGTTATAGAAGTGAAGCATTAACTAAACCCCATTCTTCAGCTTTTACCATTCTTAAATTGAGTCAAGAGTTCAAAGCATGGAGAAAGCGACTTTCGGACGACATAGAGTGGCAAATCGTTCAGAAACCAACTGGCCTCCATTTACAGACTGAGCCAGCGTAGACAAATACGCAGTAATTCAGCATAAATTGTACTTTTAAAAACTGTTTGGCATATTTATGTATTCTTTCTGGCGATCCATGTCAGATATTGCACCATTACTTTGCCAGATTGATTGAGAAACGAGCGTAATGACAAATTCGCTTCTGAATGAATATCTGAGGTACAACTTATTACAACCGATTCGTATTTAAAGAATGATCAAAAATGAACTTTCACTTATCACTTAAATGAACTTTCACGTAATAACCAGTGCCTCGACTTTGAATTCTGCTGCAGTTTGCAAAGGACATAAACATATGAGCATACAGTACATAAGTAACCGCTATCGAATGAAAAACGACGAAACAACGTAAGCCTGTGACCGCCAACGGATAGCTGTACTGATATTTGGGCGCTGTTCTGATCAAAACTTAAACGTTTCAGTGAGCCGCTCAACGAAACTCCGGCAGGGGAGGAATTATCAAATGCCGAATATCCTCATTAAGCTTCTTGATTTCTTGATCTTCATTTTCCAGCACTGCCATTTCGTTCAGGAACGCCTGGACCCCTAAACTTTAGAGTCTGAAATTAGCATACATTTACGAAGCAAATAAAGGCAAATAAGATGATGCAAATTTGTTTAAAAATTTACGCAGAAATGCAGTTCAACAGGATCATGAAGCTAGTATCCACAACTTCGAACAGTGCAGCCTGCAGCAAAATATTCTCAAAATGTTACGGTACAACAAGATCGCAAGTTAACAGAACAGAACGAACAACGGTCTGAAGAAACCGTTAAGAGAAAACAGACCAACGGTTACTTGATGCGGTTGCACTGAAAGGTAGATTGGCGTTTCGCTCTTGCACATGAAACTTGAACAATCGGTACGTATTGATTTTTATCATCTGAAATTCTTGATCTTCCATGTACCTCAACTACGAGGTCATCGGATCCAAGGTTATGGTGACTGCGCTGGTGACGCCCCATCGAAAGACTAAACAAGGTCCAATATCTGTTTGGTACACTGCTGCCAAGAAAGCTTCACTGAAAACAATAAAATTTCCGTCTGTACTTTACTGCAACAGCAGATCTCCCTGCAGAAATTACATTAACAGTTTGTCTTGCTGAAAATGCCCGTATATCGCGATACATGAGTGTTTATGTTCCTTGAACCACAGCTTTGTTCATCTGTGGACAAAAGGTGAAGCCATCGATAATTATAGCTGCTTTCCTCTGGACAGACTCTTGGCCAAAAAGTCACAAAAGGGGTATTTTAACTAGGGGCAAACAAATCGTGGGCGGCGGAGTTGTCGGTATTTTTTACTTCTTGCACAGAATACTTATAGTGCCTTATTTTGAAATGCTGCCCACGCGGTATACCTTTATTAACCTGCCCCTTGCGATACCGCCATCATCGAACGTTATACCGGTTCGATCGTCTCTCGGCGAACCAAGGGCCGCGCAGGCTCTTGGGGAACTGAAGCAGGTTGCGAAAAGACGGTGATCAGAATCTGCTTTCCGCCTTCTGGCAGCTGGTGAAGTATCAGCACAGCGACGGCTGCCTAAAACCGATGAGGACACCGATACCAATCAGCAACGGAGGATGCAGACAGTGCAATGACATTATAGCACGTTAAATTACGTCTTGTGGGAAAGATACTGAAAATCAGAGCTCCGATTCAGAAACTGGACCATCCCCATATTCACAGAAAAATAGCAGGCGCTAACTTTTGAGGCTGCACAGTACGAACTGGATAAGTGGGATTCCCTTCAATGAAACGCCATGGCATTGGTAATTCTGAACATCTGTGGCTGGAAGCTACTCTACTCAGGTGTCAAATTTACGACCTATGTTCAGGCAGGTGTTGGCATTCTGTTAGAACCCAACCTGTCCGATAGAATCATTGAACGAGAGCCTTTCAGCAGAAGAAGGACGACCCTCTGACTGAAGCTACAACAGGCTAAACCGCTGACCTTGTTATAGGTCTCTGTGTCCAATTTGAAGGGAGAATATGAGTCCTTCCTTGAGGAAGTGCTGTGTGCTCTGTACGAAGTGCCGAATACAATGAGGGATTATAGCGTGCATGTCAGACTAGACACCGAAAAATGGAAAGAAGTGATTGGAAAAAACGGCCCTAGCGACCTCAACAGTAACGGTATGAAGTTGTTGCGGTTTTGTGCAAACAACGGACTGTGTATTATTAACACCTTCGAGTACAGAAACGTGTATCAGTGTACCTGGTACAGGTCCCACTGATGACTGCTCTTTTGGAAACCGAGTGGAAGCTCTTTAATAGCGGCATACTCGAGGCTGCCGCCGAAGGCTGTGGCTTAAAACGGGTTGGCCTGCCGTCTGGAGGTCAGAAACGAATTTGCTGGTGGACACGAGAGGAAGAACTGGCTGTCGTCGAAAAAGAGGCTGCATTTAAGAGATGGCCTGAAAGCAAAGAACCTTCAACTATAATGCGCTATGAAGAAACGTGCAAGGGTGAAACGCTAGTGCACAATCAATTGCTTGACAAGGTTAGTCTACATCTACTGAAGACACCTGCATCCAGAAGAGGACAGAGTTTGTCTTTAGACGGGCCTACCATAACAACGATCAAACGTCAAATAGCTGCCAGAAGCAGTTAGACAGTAATTTCTAGATTTTCCTCACAATGAGGGCTGCCATTCTGCATAAAAGCATTAACCTGATCGAAGCAAGATGTAGAGGCCGTTGTGCAACAGAAAGCGCCTAAATAAGGGTGATTCTTTTATTTAACTTCAATCAGCAGGCACTGTCTGCTGTCCTTGTCAATGAAGAATATTATCGAATGTTGCACATGCAAATTTGTTGTATCAGTGGTTCTCCATATTTAAACTTATGACAGCCAGTATGTCGGCTCTAGTTTCCGGCTGCATAAGAAAGTAGCAATGTAAAAACGGCTTACCCGTATTATTCATCAAAACGATATCATCTGCGTAGACCAGTCAGCAAAACATCTTACCGACTGACCAACTGGCTTGTCTGACTGATTGACCGACTGACTCACTGACT